AGTACGCGAAATGACGAGAAAAGATATCCATTTAAAGACTACTAGTTGACCCCGCGTACTTCGTACGGGTTAAAATAATTTAGAAGAAATAACGAACCCGTGTCTACCGTAATAAAAGGGATGAACGTCAAATGTTTGACAGGAAAAAAGATAGAACAGTTTATATGGGAAAAATAAATTGACGTTTTTACTATCTTCCTCGCCATTTTTCCATATTTGCTCACCTTTTAAACCTTCCCTAGACCTCCACGAACATTTCAAGACCAAGATTAGATTAATACGTTCAGCCGTTTGTGAGTTTTAGAGAGACTAACGAACAGCAATTGATTTTTATATATATAGATGTTGTGAGATTTGAGTATTACTATAACTTTTTAGACAGACTTAATACAAAAAGGGATATTTTTGCCTTTCTTTGTCTTACATTTGTCGTTTTTGAATGTAGCTGGAGCATTTCACAGAAACTGCCATTTTCGGGTTCTGTAGTCATTACAATGAACCCTTATAGTTTCTTCATTGAAGCTGTGAAAAATCACACTTCTAAGTTAACGTTAAAAAGATATACGGTCGTTATGGTAGTGGTATCTACAAAATTTGTACGGAACCCTCGTTGGGCGAGTCCGACTCGCCAAACCACTTGTCCGGATTTTTCTATTACTTTATTATATATTTTTGGAAAGTCACCTAGTTACTATTTATGACATGATTACTATTTATAACGGCCTCCGTGGCCCAGTGGTATGCACTCCGGGTTTCATGGTGTCGCTTACTCGAGAGGTCCCGTGTTCGATTCAAACATCTGTTTGTGTGATGAATACGAAAATTTGTACTCCAATCATAGATGTTTCTATATAAATATACTTATATATGTATCGGTATATGTATTCTATCCGTTACCCTAGTATCCCATAACACAAGCCTACAGTGCTTACTTTGGGGCTAGGCTAATCGGTGTGAGTGTTGGAAATATTTTTTTATTTAATTAATATCTTACTAAATATGGTTTAACTAATAATACACATAAACAGAAACGTGTGCATTCAAATGTAATTACAGTCACGTCTCGTTTGACGTGGGTCGGTAATAATAGCATTTCCAATAGGTAAATTGTAACTTTCTCGAATAATTCACCTAATTGTTAAGATCAAGTGTGTATCCGTGCACCTGAACACCACAGAGCTACAAATGTCTGAAAATGTGATATTTAAAATTAAAATGTGAATCAAGTTCAAACAAAAACTCGCGATATCCGTATTTTCATAAATATAACCCATCACATGCATCACAAATATCATTTAATAAGCAAATTTCTTGATGTAAAGGAACACATAAATAATTTTATCTACCTGTTTACTTCTGGTAAGTTGTAGATAGAAAATTTATAGGTAAGAAAATTAAATTAAAATAAACAAAAAGTTTTTTATTTTAACATCTATCAGAAAGGGTAGTTTAGGTAAATATTATAAATGTGGGCTATCATCCTACTTCTTACTATGTATTTCATTTTGTCTGATATTATATTATATCGCACATCTACAAGTCGAAGTTAACTTAATATGCCTGAGGCGCTCGGTGGCGCAGGTAGTTACTGCGTTCGGCCTGCGATCATAGATTTTAAACAACATTCACACTGGTTGGTCATTTGATGGGTGACCAAAATTTTACTTTCTCGGGCTCCTCCATGCTTCGGAAATAACGTTCAGCTGCCCAGCAGGCATTAGCACCCAACAATCCGCACTGGGCCCGCGTAATGAGTCACGGCCCAATCTCCCTATTCCATCCATAGGGAAGGAAAGTGCGACCCGTGATACCCTGAGGTGTAGGGCAACGAGGACATATGAGGTCTCAAAAGACACAGAATTTGATGGGCTTTAAGAAGGTGTCAAAATTATTTTAGAAAAGTAAAAACTTTTTAGGAAATCAAAAAAAACGACTTTTTATTAAGATATCTCTAGAGCGGGGCCGAATTTCAAAAATATGAAAGAAAGCACCTCGGTATTGAACCAAGGAACATTTTAGGTCATTATACTTTTTTCGATATTGGTGACGGTTGAGGCTGTAGAGGTGCCCGTCCTTAGCCGCGAGATTTTCGCGGCGCGAGGTGCGATATCACGCGGCAGGCGACTCGCAACGATAACGTATGGGAGCTCAAGGACCGCTACTACGCCGCCGCGCACGGATCCACAGCACCACGCAAGCTCTCCGGACATAAACTGTAAGTTTCTGCCTCCGTGAGACTGCCTGGCGCCACCCAGTGCCAGCGTTGACTGCCCCGCACCGAGCCGCAGGCCTGAGCGCGCCACCTAGGCGCAGCTCGGCCCAGGATCGCGCAGGCGTAGCCCCCAGCACGCTGCAATGCCCGAAATGACGCAGATTCCCAGCTTGGCCCAAGCCAAAGCCCTGTTCGCGGCCAAAATGAGCCCCATGGCATCGCCAAGAGTCCAATATGAATTGGACGTGGTGATGGCCTGGCGGCTCATCGACTCCGGCCTCATCACGAACGGGCTGAAAAAGTGGCTTTACGCCTACGTCCGCCTATCAGAGAAGGACCCGAGCTCCAGCACCAACTACGGCCCCGAAGATGGACAAATCACTGACGCAACCAACTACGCAAACCTGATGTCACTCACATTACCACCACCGAAGGGTTTCTACCTGACGCCCATCGAGACGCAACCGGAGGAGGAACGCCCCCGCGCGACAAACACGCGCGCCTCGCGCCTCCACCGGTCTCGCAGTGTAGGAGACACCCCCGCATCTCGGCAGCCCTTACCCACTAAGGAAACCGCCCCAGTACCGCAGCACGATGACCAGCCGGCACAAGAAGCCGCCCCCGCTATCCCAGAAGAGCAGACTGCTTTACCGACGCAGTCGTACGCACAGGCCGCAGGAAATTTCACGTCTACCCACAAGACTGAAGAAAAATCCCCCACCACCGCCGCATCGCCCCCCGCCTCACCGACCGCGCAACCGGCCTCCTGCAGCGCTCCCACGTCCCAACGGGTCCGTAAACACCCGCCGATTGTGGTCGAGCAGCTGCGGGACTGGCCGAAGCACTTGCGTGCGATTCAGCAGCAGCTTGGCCGACCACCCAGCGTGCGCCCGTTTGGCACGGGCGTACGCTTTACTCCGACCGATGATGACGAAGGCCGACTCGTCCAGGCCTACCTCTCCGGACTGGAGGGACAGGCCGGACTGAGTTGGTTCGCCCACTCCCGTCCCGAAGACCGCAGCCTCAAGGTGGCCATCCGCGGACTACCCATGGACACCCAACCCGATGACATCGCCGAGGCCCTCGCCGAAAAGGGCTTCCGAACCGCATACGTGAGACCAATCCGGGCGCGTGCCGGCCGCCAAGGATGCCTCTACTACGCTGCACTTCATAGAACTCCTGACATCATCCCGGCCATCTACTCGGTGAGTGACCTCCTGAGTATGTCCGGGATCCAGATCGAGGCATGGAGAGGGAGGAAGACCCCCGCGCAGTGTCACCGCTGCCAGGGGTTCCGCCATTCCAGCCAAGGCTGTCACCGCCCGATCGCATGCGTGCGCTGCGGAGACCCGCACGCCGCCGCCGACTGCCCCCGCCCGCTCGAGCAACCCGCAACTTGCGCAAACTCCAAGGGCGCACATCCAGCTAACCACAGCGCGTGCCCCGCGCTCATACGCGAGGCGCGCAACCGACGCGCCACAACAGTGGCCCACACAGGCCGCAAACCCACCGAACCAGCCCAGCAGCCCACTGAGGTGAGCGAGCACGCGCCGGCCACATTGATGGCCCCCGCGAACGCTCCTCCCTCACAAACAAGCCAACCTAGACGTCGCCGCAAGAAAACCCGCCGTGCAAACGACACACCACTGGCAGAGGCCACCCCCGCCACCCCCGAACTCGGACAAGACACCGATCCGGCCCAAGATCCGCTACCGCAACCACAAGAAGACACAACCCGCCTGCTGCTTCAACTATCGGCCTTGCTTACTGACTTAATCAAAAAGTTAGGGCAGGCCGACAAGAAAAGTTTTCCGACTACCCCCGAACAAGAGCCTACCCCCTCACGCTAAGTCCGTCGCCCGCTCGCAGGTCGCTCACTGGGCCTCCCTCACGGGTCTCACCCGGTGGGCTTGACCGCGCCGAGGGCGACGCGTGAAGACGTGGAGAGGAGGTAAAGACCTAAGACCACCCCGTTCGAAGCGGGATGCGAAACCGATATCTCCATAGTGGCTCACGCCAAAAAGGATTCCCCGCACGCCGCGGCGCCTCCGGCGCCGCGGCGTGCGAGACGACGAAACAGTCATGGAAGCTCAAAAGAGTGGAATTCGAAGGGCTTTAATCTAATATATAAAACTAGCAAACCAGTGAACCAAATGTTCACCAAAACCTGATTTAAAAAAAAAATAATTAATTGAGAACTTCAGAGATTTTGTGTGGTTTCGTTTGAAATTCGTGATTTCTTGAAAACCGGAAGTGCTACGTTACTCACATCCGGTTTGTAGTCTTATCAGACTATTCTCAACTTATAACTTAAACATTCTCTTTATCTATCTCTTACGGTTTTGCCGCTGAAACAGCACCACGGACGGACTTGTCTAATAGATAAGAGATTCTCGTGGTGTTTGTGGTTAAACTCCTCCGAAACGGCTTTCCCGATTCTCATGAAATTTTGTGTGCATATTGGGTAGGTCTGAGAATCGGACAACATCTATTTTTCATCCCCCTAAATGTTAAGGGCAATCCACCCCTTTTTTTTAATTTTAGATATTTTTTTTTATGATACACCATACAAAAATACATACAAACCTAAATTTTCACCCTTCTACCACCAACCCCTATTTTTTATGGCGGTACGAAGTCCGCTGGGACAGCTAGTATGATATAAAAATATATTCGAAAAGTTAGTTATGAAAAAAAAAAAGTTTTGAACAAAAAATATATAGATCGTAGGTAGCTCAGGTTTGTACCTAATGCTTTACATCTATGGTTGAACTTTGCTTAGGTTACGTTAACCGTCAGTAGGGGCGGCACGCGGCGGTGTCAAGGCCGCGCCGGCGCACTGTTGCGACACATGTAAACAAACCTCGGGCTTTATGATGATGTAACAGACCCTCATTGAATTCCTACGGTCGTGACTTATCCTTCAAACGAAACATTATGTTAGTTTAATACCTACTTATAGAACGTTATCATGTAGAAGTACATAAATACTTTTATTGTTTCAGCACGTTTATAATAACATTTTAGATATTTGCCGTAGCTAATGCACAGTAATTCTTTTAATATATAAAATTCTCGTGTCACAGTGTTTGTAACAAAACTTCTCCGAAACGGCTTGATTCTTTTGAGAATTTTTGTGAATAAGTAACATATTCAGTGGGTCTGAGAACCGGACGGAACTACTTTTCATACGCTAAGTGATAAGGGTGGTCAACCAAAATTTTTTTATTTATTTTTATTTTTTTTTATTTGTAATTCAGGATAAACATACATGCAACAGTAAATTTTCACCCTTATAACATTAACCCTTATTAAAATGGCGGTACGAAGTTCGCTGGGTCAGGTTATATTCTATAAAATTACAATAAAACTGTATAAAATAATACATAGTTCATAAAAGTAGTCGTAACAGTAGTACAAAAAAAACTTATCCTACCCATCGAAGCCGGGTCGTCATACAAACAAATTGATAGTTATTTTTAATCCCTCATTAAGTAACGCGTGTGCCGCTTTCCTTTCCCATAAATCTCAAATACCATTAGGTAGTTTAAGTTATACAAATTGTAGGCTTGTACCCCACACGATGCGATGAGAAAAATGGGATTTGTCCACGAGAAACGCCATAATAAGCCCTCGGCTCTAATATTGAACATTTAATTAGAAACAAAAGTTGTTTCTCCGTAATATTTCTTTAAAAAATATTGCTTCTATCGGATTACGCTACAACGTTGTAGGTTTCATAAGGGTTGTTATGTCGCTAGTTTATTTTTTATTTTATTTATTAATTTACAGTCAGGCAACGTAGGCCCATAGATTTTAGGTCCATAGACCTTAAAGTCTAACATATATACAGATATAAAACAAAGTTAAAAACTTATTCTACACGTATTGACGGCGACGTGTGACGCAGAATGGTGTCCGGTATCCGGCCTCGGAACCGCCGGAACACAACACCTTTCGCCCAAAGCTCTTCTTTCAAAAAATTCGCTAGGTGTTCGGTTGGTACAAAATATGCATAATCATTTGATTGTTCGTTCACCCTATTTCCTGTATAGCCAGGATATAACTTAACCAAAATGAAAAATATACGTGAATACGTTTTGAATTTAAAATAAAGCACTTTAAGATTTAAAATCAAACGGTTGAAGGAACACTATTTATCCTCATAAATCACTGTTTCCGAACTGTATTGCTTCTCCTTTTAACACTTGTATATTTTATTTTAGTATATATGTTTATTAGTATGTCTATGTAGATATATATGTAGGTTTTGTTTATGTAAGTATTGTATTTTGTCATTTTTATTCAGGAGGCACACACTGACGATCTTTTATTTATGTTTTTTCCTTTCGCGGGCCTGCTGGAAGAAATTCCAATATGAAATAAGCAGTGCCCTTGTACAAATCTCTTGTTCCTGTTCTTATCTATTTTATTGTGTGTACTAAATTAGTAAATAAATAAATAAAATAAAAAAAAAACCTGTTGATTAAGCTTTTCTGTTTCGTTTTGTTCTATTGCAAAAATAATCTATATATATAAAAATCAATTGCTGTTCGTTAGTCTCGCTGAACTTCAGAACGGCTGAACGGATTTATCTTAACTTGGTCTTGAAATGTTCGTAGAGGTCTAGGGAAGGTTTAAAAGGTGAGAAAATATGGAAAAATTGCGAGGAAGATAGTAAAAACGTCAACTTAATTTTCCCATATAAACTGTTTTATCTTCTTTCCTGTCAAACACTTGACAGTTCGACCCTTTTGGTACGGTAGACACGGGTTCGTCATTTCTTCCAAATTATTTTAACCCGTACGAAGTACGCGGGGTCAACTTGTCATGTATAAATGTGCAGGAAAGTAAAGTTTAGGCGTTATTAGTCATTTAATATGCAGTATCTACGCCATATCTATACCTAGACATGCCTTTACCATTAGATAAAATATTGCTTAATGATGCGTCATAAATAAATAAATGCTTAAATGTGATTTTATCATAACTATACCTACATAAGTAAACGGTAAATATAAATCATAACGATCACAAATGTCTGTAAAAGATCCACGAACACAACTTTTACATACCTAAAATCCTAACTCCCATTAATAATTACATGTAAAGTATCTAACATATTATTCACATAGCCTTCGCTAAATATATTTGAAGTCAACCAAGCCTATGAATTTAAATGCATAGAACCACGCCCATAGCAATATTAGGAGCTAAAGAAAGCCGATCTTCACCAAACAAATCTCCATTTAATGTTAATCCTTTGGGCAATTGAAAACGTTTTCATATCTTATTAATTTCAACAAAACCTCGTCGGTTAATATTCTAAAAGCCCATTAAATTAAAGAAAGTTTACTTCTCGACGAGTGTTCTCCTCAAGCCATAAATATTTATGGTAATCTTTGGATTTCAGTCCATTAATAATGAAATATAATGTCTCCGGAGAGACTACCTATTAAATTTAATTATGGGAAGAACTCGGTTCTTGTACGACTAAATTAACAATCAATTACTTACTTAAGATAATAAACCGGCCAAGTGCGTGTCGTGCCACTCGCAGTGTAGAGTTCGACAATATATTTGAGCACGAGTCTTTATTTTTTATATCGGAAATTAGAAAAACCAATTAATATCCATCTATGTCGAATAAATCAAAGTCAAACTGCTTCTCAAATTCCAAATCAATTTGATATTTTTATTTTTTATATACGAATGATAACCGCCGATTTTTTTTGTTTTCCTCCCAGGCGGGGGAGCGGGTTGAAATCCTCATGGATACCCTACAGCCGGCTGCAAACTGCAAAGTTATGTCAGGATCTTACTGAATAAAAGCTTCATCTTCATGGGGTATAACCGCCGATCTTCTCAAGTGCATATACACTTTTTATAAAAACGTAACGTTAGCGTAACTCAGTAGCCGTTGCCGTTGGTACTCGCGATAACATTGTGAAACTAATGTTATTTTTGTAGCTTTTAAATATTTTTTAAGATTTTGTTGCAATGCAAGGTTTTACTCTATAATAACTTCATCTATGTCACTATTAATGTTTTCTTCTGAGGAATTTTCAATGGGTAAGAAATGTTCTTTAAACGACTTAAACTAATAAATCTATCTAAACCGTTATAGTTTTCCTTAAAAGTTCAGTTCATGAAAAGCAGATTTTTTCTAGGTTTTTATAGCCAATAGTTTAGCTTTTCGAGGGGGGACGCCCTACTCGAACAAAAATTAGCACTTTAAAGTTCAGTCTTAGGAACCCCTAAGTAATTTTAAAGGAACTATTCAATGATACCCCACACAATGGGGTAGATGATGAAAAAAAAAATCAACCCCAGGTTACATGTAGGGGAGTTAGCTACCCTAAAAAAAAAATTATTAATAATTTTATATTACCATTTTGTCAGCGTGATCGATTAACATATCTCCATAAAATTACAGATCTCTAGTTTTAATAGTCTCTAAGCAAAATAGGGGACGGACAGACGGATATGACGAAACTATAAGGGTTCCTTGTCAAAAGTCAAAAGATCTTCATATAAATTGGATGCAAAATGCAACTATTTTGAATCGTGCATATTTTTCCCCTGCTACCAGTTAAGGACATTTTTTTGTCATGACTACGGAACCCTAAAAAAGCATTTATTGCCATCCCATTAGATCACGAACACGATAAATTTAAATGAATAATCCCTTAATATTACTTTCTTCTACATATTTTTTATTTAATTTTAAAATTATCCATCCTTAAGCTCTCATAATAATGAAAACTCAACAATATCCTAATACTTAAATAAAAAAGATGATTCAAAGCTAAGTATCCCATTACGCATAAACCATAAACGACGAAGCCTTTTTTTGTCTGGGATATGCCTAACGCATCCTTCAACCACCGGGGGAGCGAGAAGAAGGTATGTGGGACTCCTCCCTGCTCATTTCAGCCAGCCCTTGGGCCGGATGAAACTTAACGCCCTGAACAAGGCCACTAAAAACCAGAAAATACTCCTGCGGCGGGCACCCGGCGTACATCCTACATCATTTAGTCCTCCCAATGCACGCCGGGAGTGCGGGTGTGGTCGCGGTAACCGTTGCCGACTGTCCGCGCATAGACGACGAAGCCTGCGCAGTCAACGATATTAATTACCCGTAGCAATTTTACATACAAAAACGTACTAAGCAAAGTTTTTTGTCAACGGTTTTACTCAAGATGTATCGCGCTACCTCTATACTAATTGTGATTTTTCTATTGTCTCCAGATGGGCAGTTGGGTGTAGCCGGGCCGGCATGGGTCAGGCGGGCAGCCAGCCTGCAACGGCAGTGCCGCAGCGGGCGCGGCGGGCGCACACGCTGCCGCATGAGCCACCGCGGCACGCACCCAAGGTACGAGTATGGTAGTGCAGTAGAGTGTATCCATCCGGCCTGGGACAGGCGGACAGTCAGCCAGCACCGGCAGTGCCGCAGCAGGCGCGATACGCGCACTCGCTGCCGCATGAGCCGCCGCGGCATGCGCCCAAAGTATAATAGTGCAGTTGGGTGTAGCCATCTGGCATGGGTCAGGCGGGCAGCCAGCCAGCGCCGGCAGTGCCGTAGTGGGCGCGGCGCGCACACTCGCTGCCGCATGAGCCGCCTCGGCACGCACCCAAAGAATAGTAGTGCTGTTGGGTGCACCCATCCGGCATGGGTCAGGCGGGCAGCCAGCCTTCACCGGCAGTGCCGCAGTGGGCGCGGTGGGCTCACACGCTGCCTCATGAACCGCCGGGGCACGTACCCAAGATATAGCAGTGCAGTTGGATGTAGCCATTCCAATTTAGCCATAATGCCAATGGCTAACTCTATATATACTCTTTTGCAAAATAAAACGGGCTCTTTATATAAAGTTTTCATTGTTATAAATTGATTCAAAAAGAACTTCTTTAAGGATCTGCGTACTTTAAACGGATAATAATTCCATAATAGGTATGTTATTTACAAATTTGTGCCGGTTTACGATATTTTGTAAGCGACATAAATCAATATTTTTGTATGGGGGTGAAGTACGTTAACTGTTCGCACTATGTTTATTGACACGATTTTAAGGTTTCTCGTGTAACTCAAAATTCACGGTGTATAGTATAGTTTAGTTATATTTTTATTAAACCATTCTTTATCTGCCTTAGCTCAACATATCATTCCCGAGTCTCTCATTATTGACATCAACTTCCAGGTGCTGCCATCACTGCCGGAGTCGCCTCACCTGCGCAGCACCGACAACGGCGCCATCTTGCAGTCCGGTGGCACCATCAGTGGACGCAGACCCGGCTCCACTCTCCACGACGCTCCCAGAGTGCCTCACGGACATGTGGTGAGTAACCTTATCAGGAAGAGATAGAGAGAGACAATAGAATCGCTTCACCTGCGCAGCACCAACATCTTGCAATCCTGCGGCACCATCAGCGGACGTAGACCCGGCTCCAATCTGTACGATACTCCCAGAGTGCCACACGGGTATGTGGTAGGTAAACTTTTTAGGATGAGATAGAGAATGAGATAAGAATCGCCACATCTGTGCCGCACCGACTGCGGCGCCATCTTATTGTCTGGTAGCACCATCAGCTGACGCAAACCCGGCTCCATTCTTCACGATGCTCCCAGAGTAGCCCAAGAGCATGACGTGATGGACTTTATATAAAACCTTTTTAAGTGGTAGATGATATCCACTTAAATCTAAACAATAAAAACATTCCTTTTGAGGGCAAAAATAGTGGGTTAAGTTGCCAGAGTTCTACTGTTCGAGGAATGGGACCAGGGAAGACACCGTTTCACAATATTTATAATATAAAGTTTCTACTCCAGTATCAATATCTTGTTGGCATTTTGTTTCAATGCTTTAACTCCTATAAACAAGAGAAAGTTGATTTGTCTCGGAATACTCAAGAGAAATTGTTGATGTTTTTCATTAAAAACAACATAGGTAGTAAATTAAATACCTGAAACAGCGTAATATATTCAGGTTTTCATGTTGTTTTTCAGCATTCAAATATGTATCGGTCTCGTTCGGCGGGGGCGACCGGAGAGAATGGCGAGCTGCGCGCGAGAGAACGAGACCCCTTACACCGATCACACACAAACCTCGATCTTAGGCATAATGATAGTAAGTTTGATTTCCTATAAACTTGTATCGCGAAAGCCATGAACAAGAGATTATAAACTGCTTTTATTTCATTGCAGATAGTAGTTTGAATAAAAGATTTGGATCGGTGCCTGACCTGAGGATTGAAGAAGAACAACAAAAACCAAAATGTACGAAACATTTTAGGAAAAAATACAGAGCCCCACCGCCTCCTACAAATGAGGTAAGTGTATAAGACACTTCAAGTAAAATATTTCCAACATGAGTATGTTCTCAACCGTCATATCTATTGCAGATTATCGGGGGTTCTTCACCTGATTCCAGTGAAGGAAACGCGAGATTAGAACCCCAAAGAAAATTGAGGCTTTTCAAAACCAGAAACGAAACCAAAAAGATTAACGGTCAAGTAGATAACAAATTACCAATCTACAGAAACAAAATTTTAAATACAGAATATAGATCCTTGGATTATAATGAAAATCAGGCTTTTGAGAGAAGGTATAGATCCCCTTGTAAAGATAAGGACCAACATTTCAAATATCCCGACAGTAAAGATATGGTACAAACTAACGCGTCATTAAAAAGAGAAGAACGAATATTACAAACGAAACATGATTACAAGAAGACGAGAATAGACAGAGTAAGTGGATGTAGAGCGAAAACATCCAAAACTAATGATCAAAGTGAAGCGTGGAAAACGCCACTTCTCAATAGGAATTTCAGATATTCTGAAAGATTTAAGCGAGAAGATAGCGAACAACCGTCCTTGAGGAGAGAAAAGACTTTCGACAATTCTTTAAAAAATGAAAAGGAAAGTGAATCTCCAGCCATACATGATAATAAAATGAAAGCTTTAGGCGCACAACTAAAAGGCAGTCAACTCAGCCCTTTAGCAGATAGTAGTAAGCCTTTGAGAAAATCTCTTCCTTCACTATTAATAAAAAATAGTGAAGAAAAAGATGAATTCCAAGCAGAACTCAAAAAAGCTACTAGTAGGATAAGAAACGAATTAGGCAATAAATCTAATGTTAGTGAAAATAAAACTAGTCAAAATAATAAAACGAGCACGCAAAAACCAAACCCAACGAAATCAACAGTCCAGAGTAAATTCAAAGAGTCTAGTCTTAAAACGAATATTGTCAATAAACAGGATACAAAGAACAACGTCAATAAGCAAGATACGAAAGCATTAATTAATAACAGACGGCCTTTAAATAGGTTAAATGAATCCCAGCCTAAAACAACAGCACCTCAACCTAATCCTACTGCAAAAAGTAATGCAGTTGTAAGCAAACATAAATATAATAGTAAAGAAAGTGGAAGATCGATTCCTGATAGAGGACAAGCTTCTGGTAAGGAGTCAACGCCTGAACATTCACCAACAAGAAAGAGGGGAGTCACGGCTAATCAAACCAATCCTGATAAGTAAGTAATAGCTAATAATGTCAGTGGGACGAGGAATTAAAGAAAAATATATAGAAATATTTTTATGTCTTATGATCGTTGGTAAATGTTTGTCAATAAATATAAAAAAATATAATATTGCTTTAATCGACAATATTTTTTTTTAATAAATTGAAAGTTGTTTCTGATATATGGACTTGAATAGTAGTTGTATATTTAAGTTAATTAAAGTAATAATTATATAGGATCTAAAACTGATCTATTATACTGATATATAAATGATATCCTATAAATGTATATATCTACTTACACAGGCAACCAAAGACAGCGCCATCGAAACAATTCTATTTTGGCATGATTGAGAGCAAGCAAACCGAAGAACGAGACCACCTTAAGGACTTTCCTGGTTTAGGCAGTCCCATCATTGAAGAAATCAGCAATTTTCACCTCATAGAGAAGAAACTACTAGGCTATAAAGAAGAAAATGACGAAGACGCTGAATTCAAGAAGTTTAATGCCAAACTTAAAGAAGATTGTAAAGTAAAAAACTGTAAGTACCTAATCAACTTAATAAAATTATTAACTACTAGTGGCCCGCCCTCGCTTCGCTTCGGTGTAGAGCTGTAGTGTAAACTATAGTTTTTGTTCTCAGGCTTGTGCTATAAACAATGACTTTATTTATATAATTACACGTGTTATTGTGAGTCAACCATAAAAGATAGACATATGCTGTTACGGGATATTTTTTAGACAATTTTATGTAGAAATTTTCGTCATACATGATTTCTATGTAACTTTAACCATTAAGTCTGCACACGCGACGGAAGCTTAAAAAATGGAGTAACTTCTCCCGTTTTCCCAACATTTCCCTTCACTACTCTGCTGCTATTGATTGTAGCGTGATGAAAAGTATACTATAACCTGCCCAGGAGTATGAAGAATAATTGTACCAAGTTTGGTTAAAATCCGTCGAGTAGTTTTTGTTTCTATAAGGAACATACACACAGACAGACAGACAGACAAAAATTTTACTGATTGCATTTTTGGCATCAGTATCGATCACTAATCACCCCCTGATACTTATTTTGAAAATATGTTTCATGTACAGAATTGACCTCTCTACAGATTTATTATAAGTATAGATAATGTAAATTCTATTCTTAAAAATACTTAACAGCGAATATTATTATAAATATTTTCTAAATATAAATGGCACACATTTAAATGATCATCAAACTAACCCTTAAGTAAACAATTGATTTTTAGATGATCGTTTATTATTATTTTGAGGATCATTTAAATATCTCCCATTTTGAATTTGGTATATTAACTAGATAATACTATAAAGTCATGGATTGGAGTAATTAAACCAAAATCAAACTCATAAAAATAGCAATGACCTACTGTTAAAAATGTGAATGAAATTCTTATTCCCCATATATGGGCTAATGTTCTTACTGCTTGTTACTCAAATCTCCTTTATCGATAGGTCCTCCCTATTAACACGAACCATAAATCGCCACGCCCAATGGAGATTGACGGGTCCTTATGAGTTCAGATGCAACGGGGACCAATAGCTTAACGTGTCTTCCAAAGAATGGAGGACGAGCTCTTTCCAGAGAAATAACAAGTAATTTCTTACCATCCATTCTGTGATTACTGCTTAACTTCTACTGTGTCGTTCAGCTCTTCGTGTAGCATTAATAAAATCCCTGTATTAAACTTATATCATTTATCTTGAACAGTGTCATCGGAATCAGCGCTATCGTCAGATGGCTCAGAAGGCGAGGGTTCAGATGGCTCGCTCGGTATCGCGCTGCGCCTGCGACCTACTCTGCCCAAGAAACAGCCAACCATGCCACGTTTTTCACCAGCCGCGGCGTGGAGACAGCTGGCTACGTTAGACGCCCATCTCGCTCTAGGTGAGACGTCAATTTCAGTTGACTATTACTTATCATTTCTTGTAAGCTTTGGTTTCTTGGAAATAAATTTTATTGGAAATATTCATTCACCTATCCTTCGCAAGCTCTCGCGTTGGCCAAATGTCAGTACTCGGTAGGTCTCTTCCAAAATATGGGATAGAAGTTAAATAGGGAATACCAGCTAGTGTCAGTGACTTCATCTGCATAAAATAATGATAATGATTTTTCCTTGCAAAATTCTATCTTCGTTTTACCCCCCTGATGGAGCCTCAGTTACGCGAACAAATTAGTATTTCTCCTCGGAATTATTCTTTCTGTCCATACCAAATTTAATTAAGCAATTTCTTTTTTACTATAATTTACTCACAAACAGAAAAATTGTAACCACTGGTACTTAGGTATTTAGTAATGTAATACCTTAATATTTAAAATATTTAGGAAAATATCATACTGCAGGATTCAATTTTACATTGCTATTTATTACATGCCAATAACAGCGATACTCGCAGTGTACACGAGAAGTTATACTCACTGCAAATCGCACATTCTAAGGATATTATTTTATGTCGCAGAAGCGCAACCCCTGGCCGTGGAGACGAAAATGTCGGCAGACATATCCGCGGAGTCGTCGCCACGCTCGGAGCAGTCGGTAGACAAGTCGGGCGACTCGGGCATCTCTGGCGATCACGCTCACAGCGACCACAGAGTTGAATCACCATCAAGGCACAATGTAACTATTACCTTATAGCATGACCGTGGAGAATAAACTGTCGGCAGACACTCCCGTTTTTAAAGCACATGTTGTTGATGGTTAATTAATCCTCATCTTCAGTCTTTCCATGAACATACTTCAGGCACTTTCGATATACTCGTAGATATTTATCTGCATCTCCTTTTGTTATAAGACTCAACCTTAGTACGTGTTGCTTCACTCCTGGTGCGAAAAATAATATAAGATAACATTATTAAAACATACAGTACATCTAAACACGGATTAATTCTCCTAAGTACAGAGACAAACTTCAAATACTCTTAATATAGTTTTGTTTGTGTCTTTCTTGTTACAAATGAAATACACTGTACTGAGTATGTAAGTCTTCTAAGTTTCATTCACATAGACATTCTACAGATGTCTTTGATATGGTTATCTGAAACTTCTCTTGTTACAAGACTCAAGAACCACCCCCAGCCACGTGGACTCCGCAGCAAGACCTCGGCGACAGTAGTTCCGATGGGGCAGGCGGGGCCCCACACGTGGGGGCGCCGGTCGGGGCACGCGTCGCCACCTACAGCCCCGGGGCCCAGCCCTTCAGTCTGTCCCTGCCCAGGGACGGTCAGGATAGGGTGAGCCTGCATACTATGCTGACAGGGATGTTAGGGGACTAGCTCGATGTGACTTGGGTTTCGGGTAGTTTATTATGCATATATACTGAGATTCGTCAAGACCACAGGTCAAGACAATAACACTTAAGAGAGGAAGCACAGCGGATTTCCCACTAGAATTAGTGCGCTCATTTAGGGTAACCTTCACCTTACAGAAGACCGCAATGAAATAACACTTACCTTTAGGTGGTGTTGTGTTTCTGTAGCTGAGTAAGGTTCCAGGGCTACACGCGGTAGAGGATTGGGCTGACGCAATCTCCTACCCTGTGGAGCCCTGAAAATATTACTCGCGCCGTTGCCTACCTTATGCTATAGTGGCTATTTACCATCAGGCGGGCCATATGCTTGTTTACCACTAACAAAAAAAAGCTTATGCCTTGTGCTAACGAAAATCTATTCGAAAAAGATTGTGTTGTGATTATGTAGATAATTTTACGTGTCAAATATTTTTCTGTAGAATTTAAATAGTAGAATCTCCAAATATTTACAGATAACCCCTTGAAAATACTTATCGAACATGCCCATATTGCCCATAAAAGAAAAACAAATTCCTCTCATTGCCATCGAATTACATGTATAATGGAAGAGATAGGTAAAGTTTGTAAGACTATTTTTACATAAGCTATCCGAAACCTACAAAATTTTTGTTGGGAAGTTGTTACTAAATTGACTAATTTGACCAAAATTTACTAACAAAATGCAATGGGACATAACTACTCACCTAACCTCCCACGTTGTTGCTGAGGAGGAGTAAAGGGCACTAAGTGTTCCTACTGCTAATCTTGCCAACTAACTTATGCTCAATCTTGCACTTATTCTTATATCACGTGCTAATTCACAAGTTTGCACTTATTTTATTTACGGGCTGTTCTTCCTTTATAATTTTTAATTTATTAGAAATTTTAAGTTTACTTTTTTCATTAGAAACCATCAATCTATAAAACTACTCTGTGTAAAATATAAACAACGTACTAGTAAAACCTACGGGTCAAGCTTAATTAATCATTTTCGTTTGATCATTCATGCATTAATTTCTTGTTGATAATATTCTGCACAGTTCCTTTCTGTATCTTTAATTTTATTACTTACCCTTTCTACATCAATTTCCTTGATTCTAAAAACAATATTGGAATCCTTGTGACTTCTATTCTTTAACTACTCCTCAGTGCTGCTGTTATAGCTACGTTCTCTGAGACTTTTTGACCTTTATTCCTCGCCAGCCCCCGAAGAACAGCCCGAGCCCCGCATAGTTTAAAGGGATGTCGTGCTTCTACGAATGCTTCCAGGGCAAACCGTTGCAGCAGGGGTTCAACAGCCTACAGAAATTGAGGAAGTCGGTATCAGGGGCTTTGGGCGCTGCGCTGGGTTCCAGAAGATTCGATCTGGAACACGAGCCTATGTTGGAGGAACCCGAACAAAACTGGTTCCTAACGAAATCGGCGCCTAACTCCTTAAGTAACCCGCTGCTGTTCCAGAGAAAACCCGTGGAGGAAGAAATCAAAGAAGAAACGCCGCCATCTGAAAAGGTCTTTCACAATCACACTGCACACTTACTTAATGATATTTTTTGTCAACATAATTTTGATGACCGTTATTAAAACGGTGTTAAGAGTGTGCTTCTTGCTTTGTGTTTCACACGTTTTTGTTTATGGTTATGCACTTTTAATCATAACTAACAATGAACTAAAGTTTCCTGAAACATTACCCCCTTATTAATATACGAGGAATAAACTTGGGTTATTTACTCCATGTTTTGTCTCTGTTCATTGAATGACAAATGTCATTTGAGTGACATGATCAAAACACGGCGTAACTAGTCCAAGCTTATTCCTTGTTTATTAATAAGGGGGTTAGCGTCTATAGATTCATCAAGAGAAATATTCTTCACGTCACGTCAGAAGATATCAGTTTAATGTCACAATTCTATAGTGTTTTATTGTTGCTATGAATAAAATTACCAATACTCTTCAGCGTAGGGACTATGTATTTCCAGCAGTTTAGACACAAGATGGTTATTATGATAACGCAGCTTTAATCAATGTTATCTACCGGGCCCTGGAAGACCGTGACTAAGCCAATTTCATTACAACCTTCGACTATTCCTTTAGTTCTTTACTTACGCTATTTCTTCTTTGTCCAGGAGGAGAGTGGTGCATGGCGGACCAATAACTCTTACCTTTCGTGGGGAGGGCACGTCATGTACCTACCGCCTGCGCCTGCTGCCCCAGACCAACCTCTATCTATGCTGGGCCCAATCGACAGGCCCGTCAGGTAAAACCATAGACATTTTTTATATGTAGATCCTCCCTACCTGATGTTAAATGATGGTGGAGTCCAGACCAGAAAATAAGGAGATCATGGACTAAGCATATCTTGCTGTATAGTAAATACTTACAGAAATTAAATCGTGCGGCAGAGATGTCGTCCGCATGACCGCTTCTTCGATTCCCAGGCCTTGGTTGATATCTATTTGTACTTATTTTAATCACTTACGTACCTAAAATAGTATAAGTAAATAATAGTTTTAATTTTTTTTTATAATTCGGAATTTGTAAGCTGCTATTATTATTATTCTTGTTTTTATGTAATTAATATGGCTAAATGGCTGAATTAAATGAATTGAATTGATATCACGGACTCTAGTATGACAGACTCAGGCACCATAATCATATGTTTGGGTGTACTCAGGAGCTCGAAAAGGCGCAGTAGTTAGCACGTTTGGTTTACAATCGTGAAAATTGTGCAACTTACCAATTACATAAATATCCAGCCACGAAGGGTTCCATACCATTATCTTTATAACACGGCAAAAATCACGTCTTTTTTGTCCTAAAACTAATTGATTATCTAACGTGATTTATTATTTGGATGTACCTAGGAGCAAATCGAGCGGGTGTTTAGAAGCGGCAGCGCGAGCGGCACGAGCGGCGCTCGCAAGCGAAATGCGCGAACGTGAGCGGTCCGCATCGCCCGAGCTTGCGCGAGCGCTGCCGGCGCGCGTCGAACCCGCCCGTACAGTAAGTGAAAATTACCTTCCATCATCATAATCATTATTGCTTAATGTTGGTACATAGGTAAGCTCTCAAAATAATAACTATATCACAGTATAAGTCCAACAAGGGCATTGCAAACATTTTCTGTTGATTAACTTGTTAGGTACCATACAATACCCTGTACCCCTAGCCCGAACCATTATCGAATTCGAATAGTTTGCGAGTGCGAAATGTCATTGTCAAATATGTACTGATTTTTTGTTCGCGTTACGTCGTTCGTGGCGCTGCTGTCCAAGTTTTCATAGGAAATTTGACAATGACATTGACATTTCGGACTCGCAAACTATTCGTATTTGATATTGGTTCGTGCTAGGGGGTACTGTTCTGTTAACACACATCAACAGTTTGAATAGTGCACTCTTATTAAGAGACCCTGTACTTGGGAAAAAGTGGTTCCCTTTTTGAATGCATGATCTAAACAATTGATTCCTGAACCACTTGCCCGATAATTCGCTTAAAAATGACAAATCCTTTTTTTTCCAAGTTTTCCTTTGTAGATAATGCTTAATTGCACTTAGGATCTTCTAATAATAAGGAAACTGTGTTTATATAGTAATCAGATAGTTGAAATTTGACCTTCATTTTCAATGAGAATAGATCATGTTGTTGATAAAATAGGAATAATAATTTAAATTTCGGAATCACTTCTAAAATCGTTAATGTTACAGAAACTCTTTCGATTTCTTATCATTATAAAAACTAATGGGGAAATATTTAGTGCAAATTGAAAATTGGGCAAAACTCCAAATAGTTTTTTGTTAAAATTATGGAAGGCGGCAAAATCAGTCCCATCAAATAATATTTGACGTATCACGTACATAACATGTAGGCAGAAATCTACCTATTGTTTTAAAATGGTTGTAACAAAATAAGCTAATATTGGATTATTGTACATAAACAATGTATTGATTAGACAATTAAAAAAACGAACTCTTAGCGCCACAAGATGCATTAGCTTTTCATATCAACTTCAAAACTGTTCTTATGATTTATAATAATCAATATAAGCATAATAACTATTATTAAAAATTACGAAATGCTAACACGAAATTCGCAAAGGCCAATAGATCAAAACGATGCAGAAGTTGTATAAACCGGCCAAGTTCGTGTCGTGCCACGCGCAGTGTAGGGTTCCGTTGTTGCCTGTAGTTACCACAATATATTTGAGCAGGAGTTTTTATTTTGTCTATATCGGAAATTAGAAAAACCAATTAATATCCTTAAAAATTCATTTCCAGGTTTTTCAAGCCATTAGTAGCTTATAGAGGTATATTAGAATTTAGAGGGGAGGACGCCCTACTCGAACAAAAAATAACACTTTAAAGTTCAATATTTCTCAAACGGATCCCTAAATCGAAAAATAGTCTTAGTAACTCAGAAGTAATTTTAATGGTATGGTAATAATTAAAAAATCATATCGTAGGGGAGATACCAAAAAAAATGTTTTCAAAATTATATTCTACCATTTTGTCGGCGTGATCGATATACATAACCCCACAAAATTACAGCTCCCTAGTGCTTATAGTCTCCAAGCAAAACCGGGGACGGACAGACGGACATGACGAAACTGTAAGGGTTCCTTTTCAGGACCACGAAACCCTAAACAACGATACTCTAAAACGTTATTATTTGCCATCTACGAAAATGTCTTATAAAAAGTCAAATTCTAACATCGAACGATTCAAGTCGACATATTATTATGCATTAAATATTTTAGGCGACGTGATAAATCGGTTTCGTAGTTGGAATTAAATCTTACGTCATGCCACACATTTGATGGCATACGTACACTAATGGTCCATTCACATTCACTCTAATTAAGAGATTTATCTGCAAAAACAAAATTATTGTTAAATAAATAAATAAAATTAAAATAAAAGATAGAATACATATACCGTATATATATAAGTATATTTATATAAATACATATTAAACACCCATAATTGTAGTACAAATGCTCGTATACATCACACAAACATCTGCCCCCACGGGAATTCGAACTCAGGACCTCTCGAATCGGCGACAGCCATGAAACCCGGCGTACAAACCGCTCGGCCACGGAGGTCGTCAAAATGAGTATAATGCCTGGAGAGAATGGTCAGTTGGTCACCATTACAGTGAGGAAGGCGCCTTATTCATATTCATATACTAATCCAAGCTAGCTGTCAAAAATACAAAAGTGTCCATAACTTTGGTCCATTCATTCGTTTGCTACTTGATAGATAGTGGGTGTGAATTGACCTTAGAGTCATTTTACACTACAATAAAATGGTCTGTGTGATAAATTTCCCTGTACGTAGTTGAGTAAGCTTTGTTACCATTCAGAGAGCTTGCAATTATTTTTTTAAGAGATAACATTTATTGTGTAACTTTTTTTAAATCACCTGTCTTAGAAGGTTGGTGGTTGGATTAAATTGGATTATCGTGTCCATGAGATAAAGTATATCTGTATCACATAACATAGCGACATCAAAATACAATTAGAATGGAGCAATATACAATGCGCTTGTACCTCAAACTACGACTTGTAAACAGTTTCACAATTACATTACTTAAACATTATTGCGACGGGTTTTACGCATGTAAATCTGCACGTTCAGTCATCGGTTGATACGTCATCACCTATTAATGTCCCCTTAGCTGGGACACAAGCCTTTCCTTTAGATTTGATAGGCAGAATGGACCATGCTCCACCCTGAGTGCCACCAATGTGGGTTGGTGCTAATGACTGCTGATGCAACCGGGACCAACGGCTTAACGAAAGTTATGAATGAGGCTACCCATTTCTTCTAGAAGAGACTGCCACATCCTATCCACACACTCCTCTCTATCTTAAGGAGCGTTTCACTTTTCATTCTTTTAATCCTGTCCATGGTCTTCGGTCTTCTCATAACCTATCCTTAGTTATCCTACCCCACTCCACTGATTTCGTAGCCAAGTCATTCCATGTAAGAGCTGTTAAATTTTGGAACTCTTTACCTCTGGATATTAAACGTACACAGACGAGGGACTCCTTTACTAATAAAATTATGGAATATTTCCTCAAGCTGGACTCTGCCTCATCTTTTTCTTTTTATCTGTAAGTTACTTTGTATTGTATTTTATAGCTTCCTTTTATAACTTACTATTTTTATATTCTTATATTTACGTTTATTTATTTATTTTTAAAATGCACTAACTAGCCCGCAGTTTCTTCTATTTTCATGGTATGGTTTCATTTAGCCAAAAGTTGCCTGGTAGAGATTGCTACCTTAGCATTAAGGCCGCCTTCTGTGTTTGTGTTCCTGAGTTTTATGTTTTATATATTTTGTTAAATAGTGCAATAAAGAATTCATTCATTCATGAGGAACTGGAGATAATTTTCATCATGTATCTTATGACCGGCTGGGACCAACGGCTTCCAGCCCGAGGACGCTCTGGTGTAGTGGCGCACGTAGGTGCGCCGATCCCAGAGCGCCCTCATAAGGGCGTAGGAGGGTACCGGTGGTTTTTAGTGGGTAGGACTGGCGTTGTTCCGCGGGACCAACGGCTTAACGTGCCGTCCCTAGGGGCTCGAGGTAATTTTTAGTCTCTTATCCAATGACCGACCATTGCTGAACGCGTTAACCACTGGGCTCCTTTTTTATGCAGATCCAAATGCAAAAAGTGCTCATGTCTCTCATTCACTTTAATCCTTGGGTTCTGATATGCAGGCAAGTAACCTATGGAAGGTTAGCTTTACTGACACATTCTGCTTTACTCTCGGAATAAAGAAAATGGAGAATATATCAAATTATTTTGTATGAACACCTATATACAAATTCACATACTCACGCGTCGATTTCCTACCATTGTTCTCGAGATAATGCTAAAATCAAGCTAAAGTAATGTGGGCTCAAAACTTTAATTGAGTTAAAATTTTCGCAAATTGAAACATTGTCTGTACATACGCAATCTTTACAACCAACGGGCGCGTAACAAAGCTGATGAAGCGAGTACGCCTTCTATTAAAGCATAATTGCAATTACACAAAAATAAATAGAAAATGATGTTCAAAAATAACACTTATGAAGTGTGAATAAGGTTGCACGAGGTGAAATTATAACACATTTATATAGTTCATCTCCATTGTGTCACAAAGCGTCATCTCGACGCGTTAAGCTCATTCCCACGCCCGAGTCACAATGGGTTCTTAGCAGCTAAGTGATTTCCGCGTCTCTTTGTAGTCGAACTGATATTTTGGTATTGGAAGGTTTTGCATCTAATGAAGAATAAGCGTCCTTCTTTGCATCATTTTAAAATCTTCCGTCTTTGTGTGTGAAGTTTGACATGAAAAATTGTCAGCAATATATACGTTAGTACGTACCTAGTCACAATGTAGGTGTTTTAGTGTAGGATGCCAGCTAAAGCATTTTGACAGGATAACTTACTTTGACACTTCATTATGCTAAATAACGACCGATCGATCGATCATCTTGTATCGAACTTAACAATACTAATAAAAAGGACATCGCATATCATCGCACATGTATGCAGTCGATTTTTGCATATTGCCGTAAGGTCGAGCTTATGAATATTTGATTTTCCATTTGATGAATAGCTTTTGCAAAAGTTGCCTATAATCTAACCATAATCTAAATCCGTTTTCCTACCACTGCTCTTTAACATGCTTCTTAAAATATATTATTATTCTAAATAGGGTATTTGACAAGTTTTAGAAAACGATCTCACGTTATTGACTAATGTTTATGGAGTCCGTAAAAAATGGATATTTATCATTCTGTTGTGTATTTCAGTAAAATAACCAAATCAAAAACTCCATTTTCAAGTTGCCGCGAAAACGTTTCTCTGGACGATATGGCGTCTTACTAGTGTGTGACGTCACACGACTGTTATTAAAACGTCAAACGATACAATGTAATGTCACTTTAACCGGAAGATTACTTGCGTGTGACGTCATTTTAGGCTCCGCCAATCCCAAGCGT